AGGCGCATAAATCCAATGGCGGTGGGGAACATTGGAGGAGGAGGAGAGACAGAGAGGGGACAATGCTAGGGGGCTATGCGGGTTTCAACCACCTGAAAGCACAGTAGGAAGAATACAGAGATGCACATAAACGCGTTAAGAACGGCGACGGAAAACGTAATCCAATGCATTCGAGATGACAGACGTGAGCTTTATCGACCGGCTGGATTAGTCACAATGACGAAAACTAGGTCGATCGCCCCATGCACAGATAGAAACAGCCTCTAAGGTTGTGGAAGTTGTAGTAAACGAGCTCCTGTCTAATAGGGATTCCATTGATCCAAGACGTTCAGATTGAACGGAGGCGTATTTATCCATTAAAATTTAAATGAATTAAATATGATGGTGAGAAACAGCTCTCATACGAAGTAAACAAAGGAAACCACCAATATTGAATTACGAGCAGCATTTATTCCGATGCAGCCTACAAATGTGAACAAGACAACTAAATGCAACAGAAGAAAGAGGCTTAACGAATTCACGGTACTAAAGACCTCACCGCCAGCAGTCTCTCCAAAAACTCTGATGCATGATACTGTTCTCTTACTATGGTAAAATTTGACACTTACCCGAGGTTTTATTGATACTGGACTCCGGTTGCAATAACTCATCAGCCAATTGCTGAGCGCTCGGAAGAACTTTGTTTGGATGTGAAGCAATGAGGTACTGAGCAAACTTTTGTAGCTGGCTCCGATCCATACGGACAAGCGCGTCTGTAGTCGAATGTGTAAGGGTGGAGAAACAGTTGTACAGGATGAACATAAGAGGAACAATCTGACAAATGACGTCAACTATATCATTACCTAATCAGCTCGCACGAAAGCCTGAGCAGACCCAAATACTTCTTGATTCGCAAATAAAATAGTGTATACTCAACATGTACATTTATTCCAAAGTAAAAGCATATTCGACCCAGTTACCCCTGAAAACTGTATAGAGCCACATAGTCAGCCTTCTTAACTGCACTAGTCGAAAATATGCAACATACTTTGACTAAAATGCAACAGAAGGCTTTACTACACATGGTAATTATTCACTTTAAATAAACGCATTTTTCGCCAGTTTTCTTTCAAGTCGATTTACCCTATGAATTCCTTAATAAGCTATCCGGTATTTGCCTCGATGGCACTCATTGAAGGATGACGAACATACTAGCGATGATGCTGATCTCAAATGAACACGAACGAAAGTTGATGCGGACAAATTCTGACAGATATTTCAGAAAATTTGTTCCGTTTCGAAAGGACATCAAATCTGATAATAAAATTCAAGGACACGATAGGCTGATGCTCTATGGGGGGAGGGGGAGGAAGGAAGTGCATTTTTTTAGGATAGCACGCTGCATGTTCATGGGGAATTGTATAAACAACCATAATCATCCCAAAGTTCGCATAGAATCCGGGCACAATGGTAGGGAGAAGTAATACCAGTAAATGATCAGTCGTACTGAGACGAACTGCGAAACCAACAGGAAAAAATCACCACTGAAATCCACTGCGGAGCGATCAATATTCACTGTGGGTCAAAGTGATATTGCAAGTCAGACGAAACGAAACACTTAACTTCCAAGTGGTTGATTGCCGTCTAGGTGTGTTGAGTCGTTAACAGGAAAACAAGCGCATTTATCGTAGGAAGGCCGACAGCCCGGCGGGTCAGGAGTTAAAAGGGGGCGTCATAAACCTAAATTGAGCCGAAGCACTAACCCATTCATTTATTGGTATTTTATGACCACCATTTCGTTCAACAATGAGCAAACGCACATTTGCACACACACTGGTGCACGTTGACGAACCTAACGCATACACGCACACGTTTGTTGATATGATCAGTAAAGGAAACTCCTGGTGTGGTGCGAGTGGCACCTATGGAGTTGTGTAAGAATTAGTTCACGGAACGGGGTCGCTCGCACCAGGTGACAGACGACAGTCAAGACAACCTGACAGGCCATTACACATGGGATGAAGAGTAAGCATAACCATGACACTTTTCACAAATGTGACATAAAAGGAGAATCGGGTGTATCGTGGCAACCATGGTTTGATCACCAACTTTAAGTTATAATATATTTATAAATATTTTCACACACGCCTGAGTTCAGACCGTGTGCCAAGCAAATCACGGTACATTAATCTTTATAAAAAGAAGGTCCATGATCTGCTTGAGAGCATGATACTGCTAGGTTGCCCGGGCCAAAGATAGTTTTAAGTTATTAGTTGACAGTAAGTGTATTTTTCGCTGGCCGCAATAAACATAAGAGAAGTAAAAATCAACATCTAAGGCCAACCAAACCATATTGAGTACATGACTAGAAATTGAAACCCTTATATTTGACTATTCAAAGTAATGAAGTTAAGTGAAAGGGTACAAAGACTTGATTAAAAACAATAACTGTTTCGATTACACAGATGAACATTTTAACATTCATATATAGTAAACGCACTAGTGATGGTAGTAAAAAAAATGGTAGCACAAGACATATCAGAGGTTTGAATCGCGAACATACGTCAAACAAAACGCGACATGGAAACTAAGATGAAGTTTGTAGAACAATGAACGAAATATCAACAGGATCATCCTGTTCACTTCGTTTTCCGGTATACGGAAAATACTTTTCCGCTTATCCATTAGGACCGAAAACGAGTAAAATTGGTCAAGACAATTATTCTGATTTTCGGAGGTCTCTTCACTGTTCGTCATCATATGAAACAAAGCTGTGCAAACTCTTTATAACGCCAGTCAATCTATCTTTGACTGATAAGATAGTGATGAGTTTGAGTTTTGGCGTAGCTGAAACCGGCATTTCTTTTNTAAACCGTTATCAACATCTGACATTGGAGGTGGGCAGATTCCCGATCGCCCGGCTCAATGACACGTAAATCATACGGACATATACAATCTTGTTAAAGCAATAATGCTTTTTTCTAACGGAAAACAACCATTTTTGTTCAACCTTCCGACAATGACAGTCTGTGACATGCTTCATGTTCCGGTCAAATGCTGAAACTGGCCGAATTATCGTTTTAAGTATTAGTATTATTACATATCCAAAACGTCTTAGATCAGACTAATATATATATATATATATATATATATATATATATATATATATATATAT